GGCGGGAGGTGCGGGCACGGGGGCAGCTGCAGGGTCTGCTCCCGCCAGCAGAGAAATTAGATCAATCTTATCCAATGCAAGGACAAACTCGGAAAAAAAAGCAGAAATGCAGAGCCACAAGCCGAGAAGACAGATAAATCCAGGAGGGGAATGTAATCTCACTCGCTGGGCCCAACCAGAAGTTACAACACATAAATTATTGCGCCTAAAAGCTTCTATAATTTAACTTCTATTTGATTCACCGTAAAGTACCACAATGCCCTCTGCATCTAGCCGTTTGATTATACATTTGTACCAAGACACAGCTTATGCTTAAAATAACATTACTGGAATAGAGATGGACAAGGGAATTCATTTGAATGGAAATCAATTTGATTAGAAAAGTAAATTACCCAGAGTATATGAGCAGCATATTGCGGTTCTGAATAATAATAATAATATAAAAGAATCGGTGGCAGGAAAGGATCTTAAATGTTTTTGCGGAACAGGCCCGCTGCACTGTGACAGAGCTGCGCTTGTCTCCGCGGACAGAGCCGGGGCCGCTTTCGCCGCTGCCGGCGCCCGCGCAGGCAAGCTGGTGGCCGAAGGGGATGCGCATGGTTGTGGGTGCCCAAAGGGGATGTGCATGGGTGTAGGTGGCCGAAGGGGATGCGCATGGTTGTGGGTGCCCAAAGGGGATGTGCATGGGTGTAGGTGGCCGAAGGGGATGCGCATGGTTGTGGGTGCCCAAAGGGGATGTGCATGGGTGTAGGTGGCCGAAGGGGATGCGCATGGTTGTGGGTGCCCAAAGGGGATGTGCATGGGTGTAGGTGGCCGAAGGGGATGCGCATGGTTGTGGGTGCCCAAAGGGGATGTGCATGGGTGTAGGTGGCCGAAGGGGATGCGCATGGTTGTGGGTGCCCAAAGGGGATGTGCATGGGTGTAGGTGGCCGAAGGGGATGCGCATGGTTGTGGGTGCCCAAAGGGGATGTGCATGGGTGTAGGTGGCCGAAGGGGATGCGCATGGTTGTGGGTGCCCAAAGGGGATGTGCATGGGTGTAGGTGGCCGAAGGGGATGCACATGGTTGTGGGTGCCCAAAGGGGATGTGCATGGGTGTAGGTGGCCGAAGGGGATGCGCATGGTTGTGGGTGCCCAAAGGGGATGTGCATGGGTGTAGGTGGCCGAAGGGGATGCGCATGGTTGTGGGTGCCCAAAGGGGATGTGCATGGGTGTAGGTGGCCGAAGGGGATGTGCATGGTTGTATGTGCCCGAAGGCTTGTGTGTGGTTATACGTGACCAAAGGGGATCAGTATGGTTGTATGTGCCCAAAGGGGATGCGCATGGTTGTACATGCCCAAAGGGTTGTGCGTGGTTATACGTGACCAAAGGGGATCAGTATGGTTGTATGTGGCTGAAGGGGGTTGTGCATGGTTGTACGTGGCTGAAGGGGGTGTGCATGGTTGTGTGCAGCTGAAGGGGGTGTGCATGGTTACACATGGCTGAAGGGGGTGTGCACGGACGGTTGTACGTGGCCGAAGGGGATGTGCATGGTTACACGTGGCTGAAGGGGGTGTGCACGGTTGTACGTAGCCGAATGTGGTTGTGCCTCTGGGCTCTGGGCTGTGCGGGCAGGGGAGGGAATCAAGCAGAAAGGTTGGGAGATTGACTACGGCTGTGGGCGAGCAGGTACCCCGGTCTCCTTGTGCCCTGCAGGGATTGCTGCTAGCCTGGACCGGCAACCCGCAGCCGCCACGGCGCGGAGCCGCTCATCCGCAGAGCCCGAGCGGAGACGGCCCGGAGCAGAAATCCCAGCTGGTGGTTAAAGGCGCATTTGCTCTGTATCAGTTACGGTGCAATAAGATGGCTGAGCTGCGCAGTTTGCTGAGCTGTGATATTTTATAAATAATCAATTGGTATTTAATCCCCATGCGATAACTGTCTTATTAAATCTAAATTTAATGTGTATTTGGGAAACCCTAATTTAAAGTGTTACTGCATGCACCATCTGGTGTGCTCTCTAAATACAAATGCAATAACATAATTCAGAATTACATCATAAAAGTAAGTTATAAGAGATTAAAATGCACAGCTACGTTCTTCAGTCAAGGCAGCTTTTATGCTTTTTCTCCTGCTTTAGACACAAATCACACCCGAAACATCTCTACCCTGATTAAGTGATTTTCTGTAGGGATCTTTTTTTTTTCTTTTAATGGTGAGCAGGGAAGGCACAAGGAGGAGGTTGGAGCGGATCAGACATCAGCATCGGCCTCTGCTGCAGGAAACCCGACCCATCGACACCCTGGACTTGCCCGGTGCGGGGATGCCGCTGGCCCGCCGCCGCTCACCGCCAGCGCGGCCAGGGCGGGAGACGACTGCTCCCACCAAGCGCTGTTTTGCCGAGGAGACGCTTTCCTGCAGGTGGAAACGTCCCTTCCCGACGGTCCCCCGGCTGCGGCTCTGTCCCGG